CCGGGGAGTCCCGCGACCGGCTGCTGGCCGACGGCGTGTGCGACAAGTACAACGTGCCCTCCGTCAGCTCCATCAGCCGCATCCTGCGCAATAAGATCGGCAGCCTCTCGCAGCCCGGCCTCTACGACAGCAAGCCCGGCCCGCCGCCGGCGCTGCCCTACAACCCCCTCTACCAGTACCCCTACCCCGGCCCCGTGGCCGCCTCGGGCGCCAAGATGGGCAGCCACCCCGGGGGGCCGGTCGCCGCGGGGCACGTCAGCATCCCCCGCTCCTGGCCCTCGGCTCACTCCGTCAGCAACATCCTGGGCATCCGCACCTTCGTGGAGCAAACAGGTCAGAGGGCTCCGCGTCTCCCGGGGCGCGCCGCTGGCCGAGCCGCGCGTGTCTTCCCGCGGCCAAAGGGGACAATGGCACCCCTGATTTGGGGGGCTGAAGGGGTTTGTGTTATGCAGGCGGGTGCTCGGCGCTTTCTGAGCACAGGCCCGCTTTGGGAGGCCCCGGTAGCTTTAGACTTTTAAAACTAAGATAGATAGATAGATAGATAGATAGACAGACGGAGTGTATGAGGAAAGAAAAAAAAGAAATCAGATAGACAGGCAGACAGACAGACAGAGGTGTATGGGGATAGATAGAAGAAAGAAAAAGAAATCAGATAGACAGGCAGACAGACAGACAGAGGTGTATGGGGATAGATAGATAGATAGATAGATAGATAGATAGATAGATAGATAGATAGATAGATAGATAGATAGATAGATAGATAGATAGATAGATAGATAGATAGATAGATAGATAGATAGATAGATAGATAGATAGATAGATAGATAGATAGATAGATAGATAGATAGATAGATAGATAGATAGATAGATAGATAGATAGATAGATAGATAGATAGATAGATAGATAGATAGATAGATAGATAGATAGATAGATAGATAGATAGATAGATAGATAGATAGATAGATAGATAGATAGATAGATAGATAGATAGATAGATAGATAGATAGATAGATAGATAGATAGATAGATAGATAGATAGATAGATAGATAGATAGATAGATAGATAGATAGATAGATAGATAGATAGATAGATAGATAGATAGATAGATAGATAGATAGATAGATAGATAGATAGATAGATAGATAGATAGATAGATAGATAGATAGATAGATAGATAGATAGATAGATAGATAGATAGATAGATAGATAGATAGATAGATAGATAGATAGATAGATAGATAGATAGATAGATAGATAGATAGATAGATAGATAGATAGATAGATAGATAGATAGAGTGTATGGAGAAAGAAAGAAAGAAAGAAAGAAATTGACTAGAAAGAAAGAAATTGACTAGCAAGACAGAAAGAAAAAATCGACAAGAAAGAAAGAAAGAAAGAAAGAAAGAAAGAAAGAAAGAAAGAAAGAAAACAAACCTGGGCCTGTATAAATAACTCCGAGCATTTAGGGCGGATCGGACAGGCCAGCCTGTAGCAAAACAACCGACATCTTGCACTTTGGACGAAAAATGTGGGAAATGTTTTCGTGGGGTGAGCTGGCCAGCCCCCCAACCCCCAACCCTGCAAATGCGTTTGGCGATGTGTTTTTGCTGAAGGACGCGAACGGCTCAGACATTGGTTTGATTCGTTGTCGGGATTTTCCCTCCCCTCTTAGGATGTTTACAAACTTTCCTCTACGTCCCGTCTCTACTAGAAAACAAAACTAGGCTGCGATGGTCGCACCCGCAAGCCCCCTGGGTCTGTGATCAGAACAGACGATGAATAGAAAGGCGGTCTCAGGCAGAGCTGGGCTGGCAAACTGGATCGGAGGGAGTGTTTTTAAAATATTTCTGCCGCCGTTTGTTGCTATAAACCGGACTGGGATAGATTCAGCCCCGGTTCGACCTTAATTCTGAACGTATCGTTTGGGAAACTGTCCCTTTCAAATGCAAAAGGTAAATACTTCAACCGCGGGGGTCTCTGTCTACGAAACGGGATCTCTTCAACTGTACGAAGACATGAAAGTTTCTAGGACAGCAGGCCTTGGCGGGAAGGCAGGCGGAGAACCGGGTTCAGCTGAATTGTAAACGAAACTACTCCGAATTTCGGCCAGCCGAGTTTGTGTTTTACGCTCCCCCAATCTCTTTTGCCTTCCTTCTCTGCTCGTAGCTTTCTCAGACAGACTTGAGACGCGAACCTACTGCCCCCGGTTCCTATCGGGTTTTGCTAAGGCTTGCGTGAGCCGTTATCACGTTTATAAAGCGGGCTCCCCAATTCGCATTCACTCCGGATTCAGGCACCTTCTAGCCAGGAAGAATGTTCAGTCTGAAAACGTTTCCCAGATCTGGATTCTGTTTGTAGCCTCTAGACAACATCGAGTTTCGTAATTGATTGAGGGGGGCAGGGAGGGAAGGTGTCTCTACGGAGGAGAAATAACTCCGATTTGATAAAGAATAGTTTAGTATTGAAGGAGAGGGACTTTATCAGACAATTCTCACTCCCAATTTTAATTGATTCTCCTGCTAAACTCCAGCCCTTTGAGCAGCAAACACAGCTGAAAAATGCCCTCTAACCAGTGGGATTAGAGGGCTCCAAGGTGCCCAGGAATCAAATTGTCCTTGTGCAATTTGGGCACGTCTACACAGCAGGGGTAAAGCCGAAATAAACTGTGCAACTCCAGCTCGCTCAATTGCATAGTTCAAGTCAAAATAGCTTCATTTGGCTTTTGGCACTGTCTATACAGCTGAAAGTGGGAGGGAGAGCACTCCTTGTACAACGTGGGTTACAAAAGTCGGAGTAAGACATCCTCTAGTACGACATGATTGTGACATTGGGTCGAAATTGACATTGTGTCGAAATACTTGTACAACGTGGGTTACAAAAGTCGGAGTAAGACATCCTCTAGTACGACATGATTGTGACATTGGGTCGAAATTGACATTGTGTCGAAATTGACATTGTGTCGAAATAGCTGCTGGCCATGTAGATGTGGCTTATGTTATTTCAGAATCATGTTGGTTATTCCGAAATAACACTGCTGTGTAGACTCACCCCATTGCTCAAGGAAAGAGAAACCTCCCCTGTCTGGATGCGGATCTCATTGGCCAAAATGCCACCCTCAGCAGGATCGGGGCCTGGCTTCTCACAGTGCTTACAGATCCCCGTCCTAGGACAGTGACCTGGAGGGTGAAGTTGCAGGTTCTAGGGGACACCTGAATGCGAAGCCATCGCAGGACCTCTGGCTGGGACAGAAGGAGCTGCCTACCCGCCGAAAATGGAAGATTGGCCCAGTGTGAACAGAACGGCCTTCCCTTCCCAGGGAGTCAATGGGATCGATAAAGCTGCCATGGAGACGGACATTAAGTACCCGCAGGTAACATCTTCCCCCTTGGAGGTTGCAGTGGGGGGAGAACATATTGTGTGCGTGACTGAGAAAGATTTGGGGATCTGAAGGAAGGTGGTGAATTCGAATTGCGTGTCAACGACCCAAGTGGCGAACATACCCGTGGGCATCGAACACCCGATTGTGTGTGCGCTCGCTCGCATTAACCAGAGCACACCACAGCGAGTGCCTTGACGGAATCCATTTCGTTGAACCCCCCCGAAGCGGGTCTCAGAATCTGTTTACACGCGTGTTGACAGGGAGGTTCCGGGTTAGACCCAAGGCCCCTCCAACCCAGGACTGGAGCCATTTCGATGGCCCGCTTAGAGCCGCGGCCCCAGCCGGGGATTCACGCAGGTTTCGTTGCTGCAATTTCAGCTTCCTCACTCCCCGGGCCAGGGAGAAATCGACTCCAGACGGCGCCGGGCGGGAGGGTGCTGAAAGGGGGCCGACTGCTGCTCTGTACAAAGGGAGGCGCTGAACAGGAGCAGGACTCGGGAGTTCCCGGCCCACCCCGGGGCGCTCTCCAGCACACGGAGGCAGATGTGCAACCTACCCCGGGGACCAGGGAGCCGGAGCCGGCCTCGGGGGGGTTGCAATCCCCGCCTGATTGTCTCCCGCTTCTCTCCGCAGCCAGCCCCGGGCCTCTCCGCCGTCAGCGGCTTCCTGCCGGCCTGCGCCTACCCCTCTTCCAACCAGCACGGAGTCTACGCCGGCCCCGGGGCGGGCTACCTCACTCCCGGCCACCCCTGGCAGGCGCAGGGCAGCTCCCTGGCGCACCACGGGCCCGGAGTGACGGCGCACGGGGGAGAGTTGGCCTTCAAGCACCCCGCCCGAGAAGGTAAGCGGGGAGCCGGGCAGAGGGAGCCCCCCCAGGCCGGATGGGAGGGGGTTCCCCAAGGGGGAAGAGCAGAGCGCGCAGCCTCTGGCCCTGCGCGGAGTTACTGCGCAGCCAGGCCAGCCCCGCGGGCCCAGAGACCAGGGCCACATCCCGCTAGTTAGCGGCTGTTTCACGCCTAGCACCGATAGCTCCACTGTCTGCAGAACCGGAACCGGGTAGTCTGCGGGTGTGCCGGCCCGGCTCTTCGTAAAACCGTCAACAGGGGCCGCTCCGCTGCGCGCACTATGGACAGAAAATGCGCGTGTATCTGTACAGAATATAATATGTATGGAGGGACTTTTTAAAGTGTGGAGATAGATAAATATTCTGTTTATATATCTAACAGTGAGTCTATCTATCTAGATATAATTTAGATATCACTGCGAGCTCTATGGACGTAAAATGCGCGTGTATCTGTACAGAAGATGATATGTATGGAGGGACTTTTTATGTATAGAGATAGATAAATATTCTGTTTATATATCTAACAGTGAGTCTATCTATCTAGATATAATTTAGATATCACTGCGAGCTCTATGGTCATAAAATGCCCGTGTATCTTTACAGAGTATGATATGTATGGAAGGAATTTTTATTTATAGAGATAGCTAAATATTCTGTTTATATATCTAACAGTGAGTCAATCTAATCTATCTATCTATCTATCTATCTATCTATCTATCTATCTATCTATCTATCTATCTATCTATCTATCTATCTATCCCCTGATAGCAATAAT